AAGACTTGAGCTCCCTGTGGAAGGAGCGTGTGGTCCAGAAAGCCAAAGGGATCATAAACCAACCTGAACATGTTGTCTCATCCGAGTTTTCTTTAATGCCCTCTGGACGGCGCTATTTTGCCCCTCCAAGGAGGACAAATAGATACTCCAACTCTTTAATCCCTTCAGCTATCAGGCTGTTGAATGCTGAACAAGTCTGTCATTGTATTAGGAAATTGTAGATTGATAGCGCTGGCTTTCTCACTTGACGACCTATTCGTCTGTTGAATTGTTGTTACTGACATGTGAATGTAACTGCTTGAATGCTGTGGTGATGTGTTTGTTTCCTTTTATGTTGTCTTTGCGTTTTTCAATGGCTTGGTAGGTTGTGAAACGGAATTGCCCTTCTGGGATAAATAAAGTTTTCTGAATCTGAATCTTATTCCGTCCTGCAACAAAAGGACATCAACGGGCATCTTTCCACTCGACGGAGAACATATCGAAGCCGCTCTTGCGTAAGGGACCCTCGCCGCCATCAAACGCCTCTGCACCAGGACGGACGGGAGATCTGTTCCAATGCCGGACTCTTTTCCTTCACCAATCACGGGCAAAGCGATTCACAAGTGAGGCTTAATTAGGTCTGGGCAGAATTAGCTTTAGAGAGTGTTTTTAACAATTGTTTGATTGATGTGAAAACTGTAATTTTTCTCTTTGTTGGACCGCCGCGTCCTGAGTTTTACCTGTTTAAAACTCTTGTTGTTCCTGTTTCGGACCGCTGCGTCCTGTATGTGTTTATCGTAACAGCTTTATAACCGGGTATTACTCTTCTGATCAGAAAGGCCAGTGTAAGCCGTATTAACTTGAATTCGGCCATTGGTTTGTTTCTGTGAATGAAGGGAATTACTCCGAGTTGTGGCGCGGGATTCGAACTGTGATCCGGCCTCTTCAGGCACGCATCTAACACACGCACGCACGCACGCACGCACGCACGCACGCACGCACGCACACACACACATATTCCTGTGTAGACGCACATCTGGAGACTAACTCCACCACCACGCCAGTACACACGTAGGCTGCAGACTCACACATAGATTTCTGTACACTCGCAGTCATCCAGACGTCTCAGAGACACAGATCGTGCAGGGCCGAACTCGGCCTCTTTAGACAATAGACCACGCCAGGTCTTTGTTAGGTGTGCGCCATCGGAAGAGCGACCACGTAGAACGAAGCAATCTCCCCCCTCTCTCGCCCCCCCTCTCTCTCTCTCATCCACACACACACACACACAACTCCATTCTTACTCCTCTTCCACAAGCCTTCCTTGATAATGTTTGTTTGCTTAGATTAGTTTGTAAGTTATTTGTTTGATTAAATTTTGGATTGATGTTGCTTTGTTTAAATAAATTCTGTTATAATTTAAGAGAGCAGTTGTTTGTGATTACTGGTGTATTTGCATTGTGATATAAGCTGGGTGCGAGGGCTTTGTGTACGGATTTCACGCCTTCAATTTATTAAATATAGTTATTAATTATTAATAATATTAGTAATTAAGTAACTAATTTGAGACTGATTTGAGTGATATTTTGGTTATATTTCCCTGATTCCAGGGTGGTGCCCCAAGAGTTGATTAAACATAGTTTAATGATATTGTTATTTATGTTATTAATAATTAAATCTAATTATTAAAAAATATAACCACAGTTGACTTGATAAAACCCCAACACCAACATAGCATTTTATTCAAAATACACCATTAATTTATCTTCATTCAAAATATAACATTCATTTAATATTAAATGTGATTGTCAAAATAGAAACAAAACCTAGAAAAATTCAAACCTTAAATTCAAAACCTTTAACCCTAATTTACATGGTATGAGTTCAATATTATTATCAATAACAACCTGAGAGGCCTGGCTAATAGGTTTAACAGCATGTCGAAAAATGGCTTTAATTATAGTTATCAGACATACTACTAAAAATAGAATCGCCATTAAGGTAACCACAAGAGTGGTTAGAAATACCAGCACCCCAGGAACCCAACATTCCTTTAAAATCCCCAAATTGAACCCATGGTTTTCATGCAGTTCTCTTATCCCTTGTGCAGTGTCGTGTACCATATTCATAACATCAGTAGTAGCATCAGAAATATAGGAACAACATTCAGTACCAATAACTTTGCAGGTTCCCCTTTTTGCAGCTAGGAGGAGATCAAGAGCCATTCTGTTCTGCATTACCACGTTTTTAACCTCCTGAAGCTCTTTGTGTTCAGCTAACATAGCTCTACTAGAGGCGTTAAGATGATTCTCCAATACTTTAGATAATGCTTTAATTTCCTGCTGAGACACATAAACACCATATGATGGCAAAAGGATGCTTGCTGCTTCCTGAAACCCAAATATTTATCTTTTCTGTCTATCCATTGGTGGATGCAGGGCAGCAATTTCTTTAGATTCTACTTCTCTAATCATAGGAACTAAGTAGGCCAAATAACAGGTCCCTTTTAAATGTTTGTATGGCATGCAGCTATAAGCTCTATTACCACAGATCAAATACACCCTCTCAGGGAGAGGCTGCTGTTTTATACTAACATTTATAACCAACTTACAAGAACTCCGACCCAAACCTGGTTCGTTGCTGTCTTCTATACCTTGGAAACATAGGGGAACATCTTGCAATTCATGCGTAAAAACTAGAAGAATGTACTAAGAGCAATCACATGGCGGTGAAGAGGAGAGTTGTTTCTTTTTTTTTTAGGGATTTCTTGAAGGTGGAGAGTGAGAGGGGGGGTCTCTGGTTTTTGGGAGTTAATTCCAGAGGGTGGGAGCAGCAATGGAGAAGGCCATGTCCCCCAGGAACGATGGGTAGTCCTGCGGGGGGAATTCTAAATCGGTGAGTTTGGAGACAGGATTCTAAAGTCGAGATAAAGTCTGTGTCATGGGGGGTTGGTGGTAGAAAGTTCCAGAGACGGCGGGTCCATGATGGAGGCTAAGCGGGCAGGAGGAACAGAGAGCGGCGTGGAGGAGGAAGACCGGAGAGTAGGGTCAGTGTGTCGGTATGAAGGAGATCAGAGAGGTACAGAGGTGACGGAGGTTATGGAGAGCCTTGAATGGGGTGATACTGATCAGCAGTGAACAGAAGGAGACTCTCCCTCTACAGACGACACAGAGACACAGGAACCTTCATATCCGAGCCAGAACCCAAACCCAAACCAAGTATAGAGAGGTTCAGTGAAGGTGGTGTTGAAGGTGTGGAGGTGGATCAGTGTGTCGGAGGAGACGCTGTAGAAGGACAGAGAGCCAGCAGTGTGGTCCAAATACACCGCTGCTCTGTGCGTGGTTGAGGGGGTGAGGAGAAATAGAGCTGGGAGGAGGAGCGGGTAATAGGCGTCTCTACGTTATTGTGAAGGACAGAGTATTCAACTTCATCTTCATTATCACGGCAGCTCAGACTCCAGGACTGATCGTTTCTTCCAGACTCATTGTTTTCTTTCCTGCTGATTCCTCTGTAACTCACTGATATAAACACTCCTCCTGTCCACTCAATCTCCCAGTAACAGCGCCCAGTCAGACCTTCTCTACACAGCAGCGCAGTGGGGTCAAATCTGTCTGGATGATCAGGATATAACACAGAGCCCTCCACAAGTGTCCCCTTCCTGTTGTTGTCAGACAGTTGGATTCTGTGGTTTACCGTGTTGGTGTCGATTGTGAGTTCACAGGAATCTGAAGAAGAGAACGAGACACGATAAAGATGGCGTTATGAAATGATCATCGATGATTACTGACGGACTCAATCAATGGATTTTCATTAACGTAGCCACAAACCATAACAGAAGCAATTTCAAGACACATTTCAAAAGAGCGACAGTCGGTGTTAGAAAGCAGGATTAGTGTAGACCCAGAGTCTGTTCCCCTGACGTGAAGGAAGCTCTGCGTTTCCTGCTCCAGAAAGGGAGGTCACTCAAACCCGAGATAGAGGCGTAAAGGCCGGCGTATACTGTATGACTGAATCGTTACGACGCACGACCACAGCTCACGCTTTCTGTGCTCACAAATCAGGGCGGAGCGTTCACAACTTTTAATAGAAAACCTGCCACAGAGGTGGATTTCAGTTGTCTCGTATTATTTGAGGTGAGTTCTGATTGATAACTCCTCCGTGTGAATGTGAGTGGATCGGGGTTGGAGGTGTGTCTCATTTTTGAAACGGGCCCCGGTTTTAGACCGTACAAACATCAATCCACCAAGAGCGAGCGCTCTGCAGCGTTGTAAGGAAACACGTTCTTCTCAACCGGCAGAAACGTCGAGCCGAACTGAGCTCATTGGTGAACAAGCAGCTGACGTGACCGGATGAACCGAGAAAGTGGGATAGACGAGAGATGGGTTGAGACAGAGCAACAACAACACAGCAGATAATACCAAGCTATGGCTCCAGTGTCAATGATTATAGTATAAGTGTGATGTAATCAGGAAGTTTATTAACAATCATTTAATATTCAAACAGCTGTAGTGACTCATTTGAAATACGCTGTGAATATGTGACAAATATTAAAAAAAAACACTCACACTTCATCAAACCTGGTGTCAACCACTGGACTCCAGCAGGCTCCAACCTGAAAAAGAGGGGGGGGGGGCAGATTAACACATCCTCTGTGACCACAGAACATTGACATTACCTCACTCATAAAATATATTCAACTAGCCCGTGTTTGTGCTCATGCATGAACTGTACCTTTCTAATAATCATAATAATGTTTGTTTATATTTTTACTCATAACTTCTAAAACTAAACGCTCATAGTTCAGTGTTTTACGCTCGTGTGTGACCCAGACAGACAAAGATCTCATCATACCTGAGAGTGTCCAGCTTTGATTGTGAATCCTGTAGACCGGTCAACAGCGTTAATCCTGTGATTCCAGGATGATTGTAGCTCAGGTCCAGCTCCTTCAGATGGGAGGGGTTTGAGGTCAGAGCTGAGGCCAGAGATCTGCAGCCTTTCTCTGTGATCAGACAACAAAAACATCACATGTGCGAGGTCATCCATAGAAAAGATTATCCTGACTCTATAACTACTGCAAGTGCCATCAATGAAATGGGACCATGAATGTTGACCTGAGAGTTTCCAGTCTGCAGTGTGGACTCTGTAGTGTTGTAGACAACAGCTGCACTCCTGAATCCTGCAGGTTGTTGTTGCTCAGGTCCAGCTCTCTCAGACTGCAGGACTGTGTGCGGAGGATTGAGGACAGAGCTCCACAGCTCTTCTTTGACAGACCACAGTGACTCAGCCTGAAGGGAGACATCCACAGGTAGATTCTAATTAATACAATGTGAAATCATAAAAAGATGTCAGATTGAGCATTTTCAAACAGCTAGAACCCGACCTAAGAGTTTCCAGTCTGCCATGTGAGCTTTCCAGTCCATCAGAAAGCAGCTGCACTCCTGAATCCTGCAGGTTGTTGTTGTTCAGGTCCAGCTCTCTCAGACTGCAGGACTTGGAGCTGAGGACTGAGGACAGAGCTTCACAGCTTCTCTCTGTCAGGTTACAGCTACTCAGCCTGGGGGAGAAAACAGTATGAAAACAAGTTATAAATATATATGTTATAAATCTCAAGCCTGCAGCTTCCCTGAGCGAGAAGTAGGTGGATCACTCAGTGTCATGACCAAATATAAGAAACAGGTGATCCTTACATGTGGGCATGTCACCCGCTGTCACTCTGCAACCATGTTTCCACTGCTCTGCAAATTCAGTTTGTTCATGGCTGTAAGTTCTGATTTAGCCTGATCCTGTGAAGCTTAGATTCCCTGTTGCCTTCCTGGATGCTTAGGTAATGTACTCTGCTTTATTTATCTTTCTTTAAGTCTACATGAAATCCATACATCCACTTTTTGCTTGTACTCAAGAAATGAATCCACGGCTCTTGGATCCGTGTGTTTGAATGTTCACACCAGCTAGAGGTTCAATGGTCGAGCATTTTAAAGTCAGTCACTTATACTAATTAGAGCCCGATATTAGGAAGGGAAAAAATCAGATACGGATATATCAGCTGATATCTTTCTCAGATCTGTTCGATCTGTAGATATAGATACACACATTTAATGTGTTGATCCCTCAGTTATCAAACACTTTAAAAAGATTTATAATGAA